AATCAAGTGATCTTTTCTTTTATCGTTAGATTAACATTAATGAGACAGATGGCCTATATAGTAAATCCTACCGTAAAGTACGTATAATGTTAAACATCAGATGTTTTTTTCCCAACAGTTCCCAAAATGTTCACTTGAGATATAACAGATTTTGTTTGCGTGAATAACCTATTTAGATACTGTAATTCTGTGTATACAGTATGTGTATATTTATTGGGATCGCGCGCTGCCGGAAGCACATTTACCTGTATCAGTCAGCAGCAGTGTGAGAAGAGAGCAGAGAAAAAGGCAGGCCTACTCCTCTCAGAAAACATAAAATTAAGATAATTTTGGATGTTTAATTACTTTTGGAGCATTGGGATCGCTAGAAGAGGACTTAAAGGGTTAGTTCACCCAAAAATGAAAATTAGCCCATAAATTACTCATCCTCAAGTCATCCTAGGTGTATATGACTTTCTTCTTTCAGACGAATCCAGTCGGAGGTTTATTAAAAATTGTCTTTGATCTTTCAAGCTGTTTAATGCCACTCAGCGGGTGTTGCATGCATCAGTCCAAAAGAAGTGAAATAAAAAGCGCCCTTCCATAAAAAAAAGTGTCTCACACGGCTCCGGGGGGTGAACAAAGGCCTTCTGTAGCGAATCGATGCGTTTTTGTAAGAAAAATATCCATATTTAAAACGTAATAATCACTTTAATGTAGCTTGCGCCAGCAGTTCCGGGGGAATGACGTATGAGTTCAGCGTTGTGCGTGCGCCGCTCAGAAGTGACGAATGTGGAAGCGCAGGAGAGAGATCAAAGCAAAACAACTTTGTAAACGGAAGCAGTTCCGGGCGGATGACGTATGAGGTCGGCTTTGCGCATGCACCGCTCAGAAGTGACGAACGCGGAAAAGCAGCGGAGAGATCAAAACAAAACAACGGTCACTAATTAGAAGTACAAAACGAGGATTTGTAAAGAAGAATGTCGGAGGATTTGGATATAAGCCAAGAGGAGACTGGTTTTCCTTTGCTAAAGTAAGGAAACTTTGCTTCCTTTGCTCCTGTTAACAAACGCTGGCTTTCGCTGACCTCATTCGTCATGCTCCAGGAGCTGCTTCCGTGTACAACAGTGAGCGCAGGCTAGATTAAAGTGATTATTACGTTTTGAATATGGATATTTACGACTAGATTCTTACCTAACTCTGCTATTAGTTTCCGTGATCGGCATCTTATTGATCTCATGTTATTGTTACGGCTTATTTCCATGATGAAAGTGGAGCGAGCGGTCGGAGAATCGGATCACCAAACAATTACACGATGAATCTCAGACATATCCGGACGGGATTAGATTTCTCAGAGTTGCCTGAAAAGCAGTAATTATCTGATTCACGAACAAATGTAAAAACAATTCGTTAGTCAATTGCTTTGTGGTTTTGACTCAAAACGATCTGGTTAATAAGAGTCATTTGTTAATGAAGCCGACCTCACTGGTACACTGCGTGTGCATGCAACCATTGTGCAGTTTATTAAAAGACGTGTTTTTGCCATTATTTTGCGTCATCGCCGCGGCTAAAAAAAAATCGCATATGAAACACTGCTTACATTTATATTTTATATTTTATTCTGTGATAATTCTGGGGTGGCACAGCTTTTTCTTAGATCCGCCCCTGAGGGTGAGTAATTTATGGCCTAATTTTAATTTTTGGGTGAACGAACCCTAGTTCTGTACAATGAAAGTGTTATAATTAGTAACTTACAATGTTTTTATTAAATTCACATTAAATACATTACTATCCATTACCACCAATACGCATTACCATCAAAAACAAAACTAAGTGGCTCTGATGTCGGAAGAAAATGAAACCACAGGCTTGAGCTTCTCAGTGTAACTACATCATCGCTACAGCTGCTCGAGCGTGGAGAAAATGGCGGAAAGCGTTCAACTGGCTGAGGGCAGAGATATGCTAATATGGGAGAGTCCGTCAGCGGCCGTGGGTGGGGCTTGAGCAATATGATGTCATACTGCTCAGAAAATCAAAACGGCTTGATAATTGAGAATTATTGAGACTTGGCCGTTGGAGTCTGTGCACAACTGTGCGTTCATGAGACTCTATTAGCACAGCAGTTCACTCCGACTCACCCAGGAAAAGCACACAAGTTGTGAAAAACCAAGATTAATAAAACGCAACATGAAAAAAAACAATGCCTAGAATTCCCCCAAAAAGTATCTGTGTACTTTCTTCACTGAGTTGATTCTCCGGACCGGAACCCTGGTCATGGCAGTCAGAATCACCGTTGGCAGATATATTTACCTATATATTGACAGAAGGAAACGAGATACATTTCTAATTTCAACATTATTTGTTCTTCAGACATTCCTTTTTAAAAGAAAAGAAGCATCACAGTTTTGCAAAGTGACCCACATTTGGTTTTTGACCACTGAAAATGTCAACAATTTAACAACTTGGAGCCATATTTAGATCCCTGTATCTCTGAAACTGAACCATACAGGGTCTTACAAATGAAGATGACAGAAGGAAAGTGTGTTAAGACCAACAATCTAAAAGGGCATTTAGATATATTTAATACTTTTTGAGTTACAGGCGTGCAAACCTTGGATAAAAAACAACTTGAAAAGTACTTTTTCCCATTTTTGAACTGTCACCAGACTTTTAACAAAGATTGCTCAAATCAACCGATTTTACTAATAGAGCTACAAGAGCTATTCAGCAGAGAAGACCGTGACTGCATCACACCAGCATCGACCAGGACTACTGTGACACTGCAATAATTAATGACGGTGATCACTCATCTGTCTGTCACACTTTTCTTTATACTGTATATGTTTGTAATAAATGGTTATGATTAGGTTTAGAGGTAGAAATGGGATTACAGACTCAAAATATATATAGTTAGTGGTATATTGAAAGTTTTTGAATGTTATATTTTACATACTCTCCATAAAAGTGTTTAAGTTTAGGTTTGGGGTACGGTTAAGAGGCCTAAAGTATATCTATAACATGGTCAAATATAAATATATAAATAGGTTGTGCAGTGGAAATATAGTTTCTGTCCTCGGTGTGAGCGGGTGTTTGCTGTGTGTGTTCCCATGAAACACGGGGGACTCGCTGCGGTCACACTCTTGTGTTCATTAGATGTGCTGTGACCCTGTCTCTCTTCATGTGAACACAGTGGAGTCCCTTTCCAATATATCAGATTCAGAGAATCATTATAATCCTCAAACCCAGAGGATTGAAGCAGTTTAGGGGATTTAGCGTCACATGGCAGCAGACACACAGCAGAGCGTGCAATCAAACAGGACAAGCTTTTTAATCTGTGCACGGCCTGCTCCGAATCACAGCGATCCTGATCTCCAGCAGCCCTTCTGGAACAACAGTCAGCTTTCACACGCTCGTTTGATCGTTTCTTGCCATTCATTGCTGTGCTACTGTATACTGCTGTTTACAGACATGAAATGCCCGACAGAATACCACTAAATCCTAAAGAGCTGACAAAGACCAACCAGCTGCTTACACAAACAACAGATGTGATTGGTATTGTAACATATTTACCCAAGAACTGCATACGGTTTCTAAGGATAGTGATTAGATAAATAAAAATCATTTTAAGACTCCTTAGGTCGACGTGGAGGTTTGCTGAAGCCCCCTAGTGGACGCTGATCGCCTGCTGTAGACCTCACTGAGCTACTGTATGCCAATCATAAACTAAATGTACAGTCAATTACTGTACAATTAGTTTGTTTTATATTGTTTCTCAGACATCTGCAGTCTATTCAAACTATTGTGAGCTGATCCACAGTGTGATCGCTACACCGTGTCAATGCCCGCTAGTCAGCCGCCACCTCCCTTCACTGATGACCAGTTAGACTATATAACGTTAGATCAGTGGCCACAGCTCTGGCTGTAGCATGCCTCATCAGACCACTGCAGTGTAAAGGATGGACATACAGTAGAGCACACCTGAAACAGAGCACTAGTACAGCCTCCAGCAGGGTTTCTCTGGCAGGAGGAGGGCGTGGCCTCACAATTAAATGAGCCAGCATGGGTCACTCATACTTCATTACATTAATAATAAAGTTAACTTTGTGGAAAAACATAATAAATGGAACAGTTTTTCTGCTATATTGATTTTGTTGCTAATGCTGTTGCGCAGCGATACACAGAACCATTCTGTGAAGCGGTCACAGCTGCTGACCAATCAGAATCGAGGACTGGACCTAACCGGTTTATGATAAAATGCAATTCTCAAAGTAATATATATGTATTTTTTTGGGGAAATAATTTATAGAAATTAATACTTTTACTTAGCAAGGATGCTTTAAATTGATCAAAAGTGATGATAAAGACATTTATAATGTTACAAACGATTTCTATTTCAGATAAATGCTGTTCTTCTGAACTTTATATTCATCAAAGAAATCTGAAAAAATTCTACTCAGCTGTTTTCAACAAAATAATAATAATACTAAATCAAGGCAACTCAGGGGGACTTTAAACCTGGTCTAACGCGGAGGGACTTTTATTTTGGCAATGCATCGGCTGGTCTCCATGTTGTGTTTTCCTCTGCGTCTCTTTCAGTGCGTGTGTGTGTGTGTGTGTGTCTGTGTGTCTGTGTGTCTGTGTCGTGTGTCTGTGTGTCTGTGTCGTGTGTCTGTGTGTGTCTGTCTGTCTGTGTGTCTGTCTGTCTGTGTGT